TTAAATTTGATGATTGATTAGAGTGGGTGTATTTGATTGCAACAATCTGTCGCATGGAGGCATCATTGTTTGCTGATCCCTACTCAGTTGATGTTGAATGTTAATCCAGCTGTACTAAATCAGCTCTTCAATCTGTACCACTTATTTTGGAATCTCATAACCATACTTATACTGTGATGATTCATATGGACATTGATGTGTTGCGGGGAATGGTGAGTTTCGAGGACCTCGTTCATGACATTTTTCAAGGCAGCCGCATTTTCAGGGTCCGTCACTGCAAATTTCCTCCCCGACTTTAGTCGACATTTCTGGAATTGTCTGAATTCCCGTTCGCTGAAAATTTTCGGGAAATATCCCCTGAAGTTTCCTCGAAAAATGATAAAACCGGGTCAAAACATCAAAAATGTTAACTTGATGCGATTTCACCAACAAAGTTCGAATGTTTTGTGCGCTGTCATAGCCTCAGAAGCAAGCTGTAGGAGTTTTTAGGTTTAGATTTCCGAAATGATGTGGTCGTGTTATTGAATAGTTTGATGTTGTTATATACTAGGGCTGGGTGGATGTCTACTCTGTAACGGTCCAACAGTGCGAAGAAGGCAACGTTTGATTAGCGGTAACGTAGCGTGAAAGAATTCATTTTTTGAGAGGGAACGCAAAACGGTTTGAGATGCATTTGCCCGATACGTAGAAAGAGAGCCATTGTGAAACAGTTATTAACAAAGGGGCGGTTGTGCCGAAGAAGAAAATAAAAATAATGCATGATAACAATTGCAAAATTGACGACTTTTGTAACCACAGAAACGAAATGTTTCTGGTTATTTCAGTGTCATGTGAACAATTGCGCCAGAACTTTCAGTAACTTTCGGTAACTTTGACGATTCTTACAACGTGCAGAAGAAGAAATTTACATTATTGTCAATCTTTTCTCTTGCCAAAGATTATGCATTGTCTATTTTTTCGTGTAGTTCAATGGAATAAAATCGCATTATGGCTCTACGGTTATCTCTGATCTATGCCTCAGATTGCTTTATTTTAATGCTTTTCCAACACATATTCCTGTTTTCAAGCTTCTACTGACCCCAGTTCAAACTTTGCACATACGTGAAAGATTCGAGGATCGAGAACGGGGATGTGAACAAGATTGAGTTTTTTCACGAAGTTTCACGTCCTTGTTCCCTGTCCTCGACTTTGTTCGAGGTGACTGCATTTTCGGATTCTCAACTGCAAATTTCGTCCCCGACTTTCTTCGTTCTTATACACAAATATTTGGAACAGACTCCCTACGTAAAACATCGTTCAGAGAATGGCAGGAAAAATGTAAGGTGAGTCATACTACTTGGGTGAGTGAGACGATCACAAAAGACGTAGGAAATGGAAAACAAGAGCGACTGATAGTCATTGGGAACACATATGAATAAGTGGTGACTAATGAAAGCGTCAAAGCAGACTGATAGAAGAGAAACTATCATAAGGAGAGACAGACCATTCGGCGCTAATTTGTTTATCAACAGTTGAAGATTATATAAAGTGAATCAAATAAGGGAGCAATATTTTGAAATAATTAGAAATGAAAGTTGTACGTATTTTCGCATTGCTCAACAATCGTTTTGGTTACTTGTTTTACATACAAATGCTATCGATGTGACAATAACTTAAGTTGCTAAAAATCATGAACACACTGCCACATTTCGAGGCACTTTCGTTTGGTCTAGAAATACCAGAGATTGGACAAGAATTGTTGACAAGTGTAAATAAAAATTGACATTGAAAAATGTCGAGAAAAAGATGGTCAATAAATTGTGACACATACGAGCCGGATGAGTGACCACAAAAAGTACTGATCAAATGCTTTTTCAGAGAATATTAAAATTTGTCCACAGACTGGAAATGATCCATCTTTTAAACGAAATGATCAGTATGTCAAACGAAAGCAATGAAACAAATGAATGTGATTGATTTCTTGAATCATCAATTCCGACCATAATTGTGTGCAAAAGACCGTTATTGTTATTGAAAGCTTTTAACTGGAAAGACCATCGACTGATGCACTTAAATGCAGCGAGGAATGCTGCTCGATAAAATTTCCTATTTTTAGGTGAATTTTTCTAACGCATTATGGAATAAGTATACTTGAAGTTATTCATTCGTTGCGAAAGGAACAACCGAAATATTCGGATGTCCCGAACAAAGGAGAACAAGTTTTAAACTCAGGCAATTATCGTGGGAATGCGAAAATGAAAAATGTAATAAAATTGTGTTCATCACACGAACGTTTCATTGTGACCACTACGTCAACATTGAAATTATCTGTAATAATTAATGACGCGAAGTGTAACGATGAATGACTGCAGAAAAAAAAACGGAATCACGCATTTCTGTCAGCAGATAATTGCAACTGGCTTCATAAACTACAAACGACCGCCAATTTTCGGTATATAGTTGGTTTTGTAATGTGAGAATTTTACTGCTTAGCGAGATCGAACGATCAAGAGTTTTCATCGACATTCCACTGGAATGTTTGCTTAGCAGTACACTCGGAGTCGCTTAAGAAAGCTAAACAATCAATGTCATGAAATTCAATTTCGAGAAAGTTTGACATTAAAGAAGGCAGTGAAAGTTTTATGATAAATTCTGCTTATGCAAACAATGAATGAGTTAAGATGGAATGAATCATTAAACTGACCTTTGGAGGTGTTTTGAGGTCGTATGCGATGAGTGTCGTTCGTCGATCGACTGCACCTCCCAGCTCTTTTCAGCAGCGATGCACTGCAAAACAAAGAATTGATCGAACTCATCGCCATTTTTATGACTCTACAAACTATTCAATAATCGCTTTCGAATCAATGCACCACTCGAATTCTATTAGTCATCTCAGGCAAACACTATGCCGTGGTACTTCCTCTAGTTTATGAAATGACTTTTCGATAAAATGCGCTCATCTCAAGCAGCTGCAAGGATCGTATCAACTAACATCGCTAAGCAATTTTACTTAATATTATAGCTGAATGTTGCCAGCATATTTCTCGCTGAGGACACTACAATATAACATTGCACCATGTCACGTTGTTGTGATATGTGTACAAGACAAAAGCGGAGGATGGAGGATAACGAAACAATGAATACTTGGTAAGTTGATAAGTTCTTAAGCAAAATTTCTTGATAGATACATTGTTGAGTGGCAATATTATGTAACAGTTACATTCCAAATTGAATTAGTCACAACAAAGAAACAATTTATGATTATAATATGATATGAGCTGTATCATATTGAGCCATGTATTAAGTTGAAAAACACATCAAATAGTACAACTGAAAAAGAAACGAAATTCATTTACAAAACTGCGATCAGTTTCAGATCAAGCACCTTAGCATGACTTATATCCAAATTCTCAGCAATCGATCCTATAATGGAATAAAACGCGTCCAAACTTGCTCAAACGCATTCCCTCTAAGACACTGAATATTCATCAATTCTAATATTGCTCTTTCATTTTTGCTCTCCTCCTTCCTGCGATGCATATTTGATTTTCTGTCTATATTATAATAATCACTTTTCACATCGAATGATGTGTTCCGTTTTTATTTCAATAACTTGCTGACAAAGTTCTTGCTTTTGAGAACTTTAAATGTTCATCTTCTCAACGATGATCCTTACAGTTTCATTATTTTCAAAATATCTGAACAGCAACCAAAAAAGTGTATATTATAAGAGCAACAAATTCATCCATAAACAAGAAGTTTTTTTTCATAGTTAGAAAGATAAGGAATGCATGAAACATAAAAATCGTGAAAAGAATGAACGGAATGAAGATATTTGTATAGATTAAATAACGTGATTTGCTCAAATGATTGTGATGAAATAAATGATCGGTAGTCATCTTTTTTTCACTTTGTAACTGAAAGTAGTTTCAATGAACCAACAAACTTATTCAAGATGATTTCGTTCGATAGATGTACCTTCGGAAATGACGAGAAAAATTCACAAAAGCGATCTTGATATACCATATCTATTGATAATTAAATAGTTTGATGGAAAGAGTAAATGGCTCCTCATTTGCACCCTTTGAATCCCTTGATGAGTTTCTTTCAAAAGATGGTTTGCCATCTTACGCGAGAAAATATGCAAAAGAATACGTTGAAAGGGTCACTTGAGAGTTAAGCAAGTGAAATGCGAAAGAATTATGAACAAAGATTGCAAAAAAACAACCGAGAAGCTAGAAAAATTAGCGTTCGAAAAATGTATGCGGATCGCGAAATGAGGATGAACATTTAATTCAGTATTATCCTGTCTCTCATATGGATTTATTCAAAATAACCAAAAAGTACACCATCAACTCCAGTCATTTCTTTTTTTTCAGTTACTTCAGTTCAACATCGTCCTTTTCGCAAATATTCTGCATCAATGCAACAGTAAACAACTAATTCGATCAGTATCGTGATGCGATCGTATCAAATTATTCGAAAATGTTGACATCATTTAAAGTTTCGTCATCGAGCATTGTTGATAAAATTATTGGCAGTAATACAGGAGGTTATCATCACCAACAGCAATAGTACATCAATAGCATACTCATTCACTGGAATAAAACGGCTGAACACTAGCTGTAAGCACACTTAAGTTTTAATCCCGACGTTATGATGATGAATTTATTTAAAACATCTGGGTTTTGCCGGATTCGTGATCTAAAACTGCTGGTGAAAATACTTGATACCAAAAACAGCAGATGATGCAGTTGATTCTACAATGATCTTGATCTTACAGTTGATCTTATTGTTAGTCAGTCTGAAGTATGATTGAAATGAAGAACGAACAAAAACTGATGATGTGTTATTATGGATAGACCGTAAAGGCTGATTAATTTTGGATCATACAATAGCAATTCCTCTCATATCTCCATAGTGCATTTCTTCCCGATGCATCATTTTCAATTTTTTATGCAGTTGTTCACTCCCTCTTCACAGTTTTTCGTTGCCGTGTTTAATGCCTGACCTATTTTGACTTCAACGGCTGAGTCGCTCACCTTGTAAACGTTTAGAATGGTGACCTCTTGGCTGCAAATTTTGCTGGCCGAAAGCAACTGAGTGGAATGATTCAGAGTTTTGCGGTCAATCTCATAGCAACTATTTACTACATGCGTGGCTATTGATAGAATTGATAACTAACGGTTTGAGACGAGAGACGATCAACGGGATTTTGGTAGCATCTTGATGAAAGAGAGCGAGACATTTATGACGAGAGCATGAATGCACATCTTTGCCAGCTATGTACCAAATACGATCGCCCACACGTAATCCGCTTCTGTGAGCAACCGAATTTGCTGCCACCTGTTCAACACGTATCGATAGAACACTGAAATTCCATCCAACAATTGATTGCTTCCTTGATTAATTTGTACTTACTTTGATCAATTCAATTTAGTGAACAAATACCGAACTGGATATTTTTGGGTGAAATAAGAATACAAGCAAATTGCTTAAAAAAACAACTGACATGAACTCAAAAAAAGATCATTCGATTAAAACGTACAATTACCGAAAAATAAAACATTTTAGTTTATAAAGCCGTGTTCTACGTCATTTTGAATGTAATAGGAATAATGAAGCGAAAAGTGTATTATGCATCCAATGAAAAAATTATTTAAAACAGCAATTACATCGTAATGTTAAACTTCATAAAACATAAAATATTTTCAACTTATCATTACTCACCAGTCCCTATTGTCATCGCTTTCAATTGCTATTCCCAAACCAAGACGTTCGTCTGGAGTAGTTTTTTCGAGCAAAATCTTTTCACGCATTATTTCCACAATTTTCTTTCTGATTGTCCGCTTTGTTTTCACAACGGCATTCTACAAACATTCATCCTAAACGCTTATGCTCAACAACAACAGCGAAACAATGTTATTATGAATTCAACGGAAACATTATGGAAGAATGGTGTCGAAAATCACAAGATTGAGTCTTTACAACGACTAAAGACGCCGAAAATTCCACTTGTTTCCGAATTGTCGATCGAAGTTGAATAATCGCAGCTTACATTTCGATTTCGTAGTCAATAGCGATAATCCTTCAACCGCTCATTTTGTGTAATGTTTAGAAAGATCTGATAACTGGTAGGAGTGAATTTTACGATAGGGGATCATCCATAAAGTTCGAAAGAAAATTGGAAAGGATCAAGTGGGAGCTTTGCGTTTGTGAGATGCATCTCAAAAGAATCAGCCAATATATTCTGACCCGTTCAATACGTCATAAACTACTTTGACAGCAACGTTTCTGATTTCAGTTCATCATTATGCTCAGATTTGAATCGGCATGAAATGAATATGGCATAGAAATACTGAGTGATTCAAAAAATAAATGGGATATCGGTTATTTCGTAGTGAGACGTGAAAGAAGATAAACTGAAGCAACTTGAGTTATCTATGTTCAAGTGCAGTTGATCGGCATATGTTGTTGATGGCTCTCTTACAGACTTTTACAACTACATGATTGATGTGGAATATGTTCAAGCAGATGAAGCTTACCAAAAGGTTCATTGTTAAGTGATAATTTGCGAGAGTAGTAAAAAAACAATAAAGTAAAACAGGTTCAAAACTGGTCCACTGGTGAAAATGATAGAATAATGGAACTGATGAAAAATGATGGAATGAGCGGTGTTGTATGTCGAAACGGAAAAGGCTTTTGACGTTGAAAGCGCATTAAATGGCACACCGTTAAGCGATGCATGTGCTCTTTGTTGATTTTATGGTTTGACGATGGCATGGTGTTGACGGTAGACGCTACCTAACGCTAATCTGAATGTTTTTCAAACAATACCCCTTTTGGATTGTATGTATATTATTATCGAAATCGATATTGATTCATTACATACTGTAACTGAAATACTAATTTATTTGATTGTTTTCTGAAATATCGCTGCATTATAATTTGCATTTTGAATGATGGTCTGCGCATGAAACGTTCACAAAATATCATACGAGGTTATCAATTTTCGCAGATTTCTGCCGATTGCCTCAATCCGTTTGTTTTAGTTTGTGTATCTGTTGATTTCGACACAATGAAAAATCTAATTTCGCTTATTTTAAGAGAGATAATGTGATGAAATTAGAAAAGAATGATATAAAAAAATGTCACTGATTGCATTTTGTTGTTTTTTCACGGTAATAACTTCGAAACGAAATAACCAGTTATTAACTACACTACCTGCAGAATGACTTCAAATCTGTGAAATTGAGCGAGTGATGTGACCTTGATACTAGTTCAGCATAACATACTTGTTTTATTCCTTCAAAAACTCATACAAGATGATCAGTCTCATCCTGAGATTGCTTGCAATCAGCTGTTTTTGGTTTCATGCTAGTGTGTCGTTTTCGACGGAGTACAATTTAGATGTCATACCCCATCTTGTGTCATTTGCAATTTTATCGTGATCAATTTCACGGCTTTTTTTCCAAAATATTACGAAAAAAGTGGAGCTTGTACTGAATCGATCGACGCAGCTTGGCATCGATCTGTCATCAAAATTGAACCGTTAGCCCAGAACGAAACAAAAAACTTATAATATCACATGAGTACAAGTACCTTAAATACATACCGCAGTTATGTTTAAGCACACTGATTTTTGATGAAAACATATTAGCGAAAGTTGAATTTGCTATTCGAAATCTTTGAAATCATTCTTGGAGTTCTAAAAAGAAATCAACTGAACCGTGCCGATAGTTGATAATTCACATGGGTTCGTGTGAATAAATGTTTATCAAAAAGTGCTGGTGAGGTATTTGATGACTTCATAAAGGAACATCACTTTTGAACGGTACATTGAAAGACAAAATATGAAATGTCTCGATTGCGTCTTTGAATACCATACGTGATTCTGACGCGTAACTATAAAAAGGATGCGATAATTCAATTATGAGTGATTCCCTCAGCACCTGCATCTCAAAAATTCAAGAACTTTCGGATGTACAGTAAAATGGGGCAGTTAGTTCGTATGGAGGAATTCAGTTAATGATTTGAAAATTTCGGAAATGACTTGTTTACAAACGTATTTCAAAGATGAGCTACAATCAGAGGAGTGTTGAACCAATGAAGCACAATTCAGGTAATATCGACATTTAAACCGAATGATGGAATATATCCGCAAAGAAGCGGAAAAAACGTGTGAGGAGACTGAGAAAAACGACAAACGAGCTCGTTGCAATGAAACAGAATAAAAACTTAGCGTTGAGCGAAAAGACATTCAAGTATATTTTGAAACGCAATAAAATTTCCAATAATTTCATTCAGTGAGCATCCAAGGTCAGTTTACGCTCAGCAACGTACATTACGACAGTGGCTCACTTAGCAAAAACAGTATTTCGAAGGTAGATATCAACATCACTTTTACATAATCGCTCATCAATTTAATCCGCTTCTTCGTTTAAACTCCATCAGTGAAGATTCCGAAATATGAACATTTAACTCTTGTAGCACTGCCTTAATTGTGTTAGTTTGATCTTTCAATGACTTGATTTGGTCAAAAAATTGAAAACTCAGTTCTCATATGATTTTGATTCGTTCGTTAATTTCAACTTTTTGAGTAGAAGCAATTACAGCTCATGATGACCGCTTTAACTAGCACAGCAATTTTCAGTGCTGAAGTTGGAACATTCAACAATATGTTTTGAAAGGTGGAATCAGATAGAGAAACAATTTGAATCCGCAATTGCAAGAAGGCACTATAAAAACGCCAATAATCAGCTGTAAAATGAAACTCAAAAAAAGTTACTAATTGGAACTAAAAACGCAATATGAACACTTGAAGATGAAGACATTTGAAGATGAATGAAAAGTTGTATATATGAATGGATGAATTGAGAATTAAAAGCTCCAAGATAATGAAGATTTGGCAGCAGTACGTACACTCTCAAGCAACGATCGACAGCACATCTGTTCATCACTGTTTCGTGTGTACGGGACATGGCTTTGAAATGATATTGGGTGTACTATGTAGCGAAGCAGCATTGAACAGCAAAGCAGTAGTGGATTATTGAATAAAATAATCTGATTCGATGAAATTACGTAAAACGTGGTTTTATTCGATGTGATTTGCATATTATGATGAGAGACTCATCATAAACACTAATTCATGCCTACAAATTCTCATTTTACTGAATTATTCGTTTCTACAGTTGCTTACTGACGTTTACGATCGTGATTCAGTGCTTTACTTTATGTCTACTGATTAACAGCGTTTTGCTATGAATACTATAAGGAGTCAAGCTTCAGCAGTACTCAAGAACAAGTGAATTATGAAACGTATATCACTCAACAATTTCTTTTTCATCAAACACCATCAATTTGTCGAGCCATTCAAATCAGTAGTTTCCGTCAACTTCAAAAAGCACATACGCGAGTGTTTTAATATATTTTTGAAGGACCGACTTATCAAATTCGCATCGTTCGCATTTTTCGAACGTCAACGCATGCGAAAGTTTATTTTATTTCGTAATAATGATAAGCGTATTATTTGCACTGACTTTCCGTAAGACATTTCTGTTGGCGCATAACCTTGCCTTGATGAGTGAGTCCTTTGCCAACGAGAAGACTGTGTTGTCCACTATTGTATCGGTTAGTTTCATATCAACATTTCCAACGCTACAAGTTTTTTGCGATTGGTTAAATTGAAATCATTTGAGAGTTTCTTACTTCCGAAAAAACCGTTTAAAAGGTGTTTCGATGGCTCTGACGTTTGAAAGATCAAAGAAAAACGCTTCATACATAAGTTCATTCGAATTGTATTTGCCATAAGAACGAAATCATTCAAATATATTATAAAAAGTGCACGTAATGCTTTCACAAAACACAGAAAAGTTAAAGTTGTTAAAGCAATAATTATATTGTTACTGAGTCAGATGTGTTCTCTTTGAACTGAATAAAATTCGGATAGACTTGGAGTGCCTGATACTAAAGAATAATTATGGATCTTTCAAATTATGGATAGCTTACCAATATGTACTGCGATGACAATCAGGTGCCGACCTTCGAATTGCGAGTGTAACATCCATCTTCGAGACCGATTTGAAGATGTTCAGAACTTGTGATTGCGTCTTACCATACAATTCAATGTCATTTACATTAACGATTTCATCGCCTGAGCGTCGGAGCACATTTGAGATTAAGCACATTTTCTGGTTTTGAATTGGGCAGGGAAACTAGGCGATTGGAAAACAGTAGTTATCAGTTTTCGAATACATGCACTGGAATGGGAATTTGAACTTATAATTGCAATTATTTCAGGATCAATTCGAACTCTATTGAGACATTGAACTGTATTGAAATTGGAAGATCATATTTGATATACAGGAATATTTATCATGGTTGTATGATTCACATTAGAATCCTGTATTTGCACTTATAGGGTATCACTTTTACGGGGCGGGGTTTTTTCAGAACTTGATGTAAAGAATGAAATTTTTCCAGTAGGACGCGTGACGTTTGTGTCAAAATAGACTGGGATTATTTGAGTAAGGAAAAGACATGCCTTCAATTAAATAATAGCACGAAGAAAATGCAAGGCGAGAAAACTCAGTACCTTTCTTAATGAGTCCACTATGAGCTGCAAGACCGTTAGCGAAGAGAGTTTTCACAAAAACACCCATTGGTCCTCGAGGTGAGTCAACACCACCAACAATGCTAAATCCGAGCGAGTGGTTAGTGGAGCGAGCTCGCTGAGCACAATTCAAGTCCAGAAGTGCATTCTGGTGTCGGTATAATATGATCGTTTGCGTTCTACTAACCATTCGTTTTCTCTTTAAAATTTGCCTTTCTTGAATATCTGTAAAGTGCTACCAACGGTATACACATACGATTGACTAATGAACACCTCGATTCAACTACTTATCCTTTTCGGATCACGAAATTGTTGAAATTTGCACAAAGATTCATGCGCCTTCATGACAAAACTTCAACGATACCCAATCGAATTTCAATTTGCATGCAGCGGAAAACATCGCGGACTGGTACATGGATTTGCTCAGCACTTTTTGTATGTGAAAAGAATGTTTAATTGATGATTGCGATTCAGACCACCCGTCGTCATTTCAATTTCTCATATCTCAAATTGGACAGATGATTACGTCACGTATTTATGCGCCCGCTTCCGAGAATATTCAGCATTTAAAATCCTTTTTTGAATAATTGACGTCCAGTGCTGAAAACGAACTTCAACAGAACCCAAATTGCACACTTGCCGTGAGTAATCTTCAAAAAAATGGACACTTTCAAGAAAAAACAAACATATTAGGCGTTCAATCAGAAACATCAACACAGAATAGGTTCAATCAGATCAACTTCGTATATCTATCACATAAAACTGTCTGATCCCTTCTGCGTAACAATAACGCAACAGCAAAGGAACTAAGGTATCAACTTCCTTCGTTAGTAATGTTATTGGTCGCAAACTGATTGTATCGTTAGGAGAATGCAAATAACCAATTGTAAATGCGCAATGACCTCGATGTAAGAAGTGAACTACTGAGAGGATGTTGAGCTGAATAGCGATTTAAGTTAATGACACTCATTTGCGAAGTATGAATTGTCAATAAGTTCACGTAATTATGTGTTCCACATATTTGCTCATTCTGCTCAAAGTAAAAAACAAAACAACATGCAAATTTTCTCAGTAAAAGTTTTCCTTGAAAAAAAAAACAAAGATAGTTGCACCATCAACAAATAGTGCTCAACATAAAGAGAAAAAATTGTTGCACAGTTGACGATTATGGATATTTTTCGAAAACGATTATCATACACGGTCAACAATAAAATGTGAACAGTGCTATAGAAAAACCATTTTAAAATGTATTGGGACAGCATTTCTACATGGTTTCATCAAATCTTTTCATAATTAATAAGTTCTCCACAGCGTTGTTTGAACCAGTCGTTTTTCCCGAGATAAGCACGCGTTATTCACTTTCAGGCCTTATTTCACTAGGAGAGATTTTCCCTAAATGATTTAAGCCTGAACTCGTTGAACGACAGGAAGAGAATATTCTAATACAGTATGAATTTTACAACAGCTGGTATACGGCAAATTCCGGCAATTTCAGGAATGAGATAATTTAATGCCATAAATTATCAAAGATTCCATGAGCGACACCTTCCCCATCTGTAGCAGCATATCGATCTCCTTTGTTAGGAGCTGACAAATTAGTGAACGCTTCAAGCATCATTACTGAAGTGTTTAAAAGTTGAAAATACGTTTGAGAAAATCATGATCCTTCGGGGAATAATGCTTCAGTGATGAAAACACTTAAATTCTGCTGCAGTCGGAATTGGTTTCAGTCACTTTTTGGCAGAACCATATTTAAACATGCATTGGAAAAACTTTTTTTCGAAAAAGGGTCATGAGCTGAGTTTTGCTATGAGATGAACGATAAAAAATACTCATTACTTGGTTAGTCAGAAGCCTGTGATGAATTTGCATAAGGAGATTGTGAAAAAGAAATGAAAAGGAGGAGGAACAGGAACATGAATCGGTGGCGGTACATGAGGTTAACGAACGAGCCACAACTGGTGTGCTTCGGAATGTGTTGTTATTTGGTTACGATGAGGAGAATGGTTTCGGTTGAGGTGGACTGGAATGATGTGTTTTGCATAATTCACTCGGTTATCCGTTAATGGCCTCAATCTGAAGAATAGTGAATGATCGTTGATTCTATTGCCAAGTGTTGTGATCGCGTCGCACCTCATTGCTTTCATGAAAATGATTAATCTATTTTCCACGCATCTTCACAGAAAGTTTACTCAAGCAACAGTCAAGTATTCTCAATGAAAGGATATGAATTCGTGAAATTTTGCACAGGCTTCAATCACATTTCTTCAAATAACATCAGCATTTATGATCAACTACTTTCATTTTACGTGCACCATTTAATAGATGCGACTCGCTATTCAAGGGCATTTCAGCAAGACCAACATTATGCCAGCTATTTTCTTAACTGATTGAATATAGTTTCAAAAATTTTCTTGCATAAGAATGCTGAATAAAAATTTTACGGGAAGGACGGCTGTTTTTTGCAATAGCGAATGTTATTGAAAATTAGTAAATAAGCCTTTGTGAGCTTATTGGATGATGGATATCATCATCGAAATTTAGTAGTCGTTTTTCTTGGCTAATGCAAAGCATCACTGAAACTTTGAAGAGGTCAAAAATGATCTATTAAGACAATGAAGATTGCAGATATGGTGGATAGTTTGCTGATCTTGTTGATCATTTGCGTGCACCACTGCTCCATAGCTATGAGTCGCTGTTCCAAAACTTTTTTTTTGCAAAATGATGGACTGCACGGCAGAAGAGATTTATCTTTTTGTGCTTGGTTCCTTTATCTTGCATAGACACGGCGCATACATGTGACAGTTTTGCTCATGGGAATTTATGCTAGTTTCTAATATGCTGTTGGCAAATCCGGCGTCTAGAACAGTCATATAAGTGAATGGTTATGTAGCAAAACAGTTGCATGAGTAAAAATTTGATGTCAGAGTAAAGGATGTAATCATATTGAACGTTTCATATGTTGAATGAGTATCGCGGAATTGGGATCGTTTTGAAGTTTTGATGTCCTAACATGCACGAACCAGCAAAGCGTTGGATAGAAATGAGTGAAGAAATGCATCTACTTTAGCAAAGAAGTGTGCAGCGATGAGAAGAAATTCAATAAAATTCGTTTTTCATTGAAGTAGACCGTGCAGAGATTAACAATGATCTATCCCAAACGCTTTCGGTTTGTTTTGTTTGGTTTCATTTAAATTGGTTCCGTTCGTCTGACGACTATCGACTAGAGGAGCGGTTGAAATGACGAACTGAAACGTTTGATTCATCGTATCAATCCGAAGCAATTCAACGGCAAACGCATATTCCTTCACACGCTAACAGGCAGCGTCCGGAATAATGCTCAGCAGGCGGTCGCCGATGTTATGTGCCGTGCTGAAGCGACTCACCTTTCTATCAATATCGCGAATATCTGACAAGTGTTCCCATCGGCTTCAACTTATTTTTCCACATCTCGTACTTCTTGTTTCAACCATCAGCTACACATTCGTTGGTGCACTTGTTTTTGTCTCAATTGAAAGGCCATATGAAATCGATCGTCACAATCTCGATCTGCAGAAAATTCGTGACCTGCAGGTGCTGAAACCTGCTTCATCATTTCAATGATCTTTCCTCGACGGAATCAAACATTACCAGCAATATCATTACTGTTAAAGCGTGGTCTCTTTCGAGAGTGGATATTTTGCCATTTTCAAGAAATTATAGATGATTTTGAATGTAATTCTCAGTATTAACGTAAGCTTGAGCTAGCAAAATCATACAACTTGAATGTGGTTCGCTGCTTTCCTATTTGTACTGATTAGTTTTATTGCTGAATCATCACATATTCAATGGGAATGTGCGAAAAAAAAAACTGTTCCTCTTGACAATAATGCAACATTTTTAATTGAAAAACTCGTGGAAACGCATTAATACCAGTGCACGGCTCTTTTGATAGTAAAGGCTTAAGAGAGATCGATGAGCTTAGATCTGAAGATGATGAACAAAAATTGTGCATGGAAATGTCTGCAGCTGGGTGCCATTTCTGATGTATCTTTAAACTCAGCAATTCACCTCAGTCACGCTGCGATTGTATTTGATGATACTTCTCAGAATTCTATTCAAACATCTGTTCTAATTTGCAAGTGAATAGCCATGAGATTAGTATTGTACGATTCGTTAAATTTTGGCTAGCCGTAAAATTGTGGAACATATTACTTGAAAATGAAGCTAGTTGATGGGTCAGAAAAAATAAATTCAATCTGTGAAAATGACCTGAACAAGTTCTGAAGATTATCTCTAACATATTCTCTTGGTGAGTGATTTTAGTACTATCCATTATAAGTAAGTGATATACATGTTTAGCGATCGTTGATGACTGTGGAATTCGATTTTGACAACGCGATTCTCGAAGTACTTATTGACGATCTTATTTTCGCCTCTTTTGCTGCATTTGACGATGGCATCAGATTGAGTGATTTCGATGAGAATGTCACTCTCAAGTGGAATTTATCCTCAGTGATCTTTTTCACCACAACCGTTCTTACATCAATCGGTAATTACATTTATTCGTCTATATATGATCGCATTTTACTTTCCTAATAAGTTTATCGACAACTTTACCATAAGTTTCTAGGTTATGGTCATCTTGTTCCAATTTCACCATTGGGCAGGATTTTCTGCATTGGCTATGCGTTTCTCGGATAAGTTTCATTTCATGATTTCATAGTGTTATATTGCTTCAGGAGGCTGTTTTTATATCAACGGTGAGATCTTTATTTTTTTGCTCATATTAGCACTCACAGCTGAATAAACTGATTTCGAAATTGGGATGTCACTAAAGAGCACGTTCTTTTTTCCTCGTTTTTTACAGTCAATTAGCTACTGTCAGAAAAATAAAACAACGACGAGTCGTCTGTTTGTATTTCATTCGCTTCTTTCAATTTCGTATTTGTAACAGAATTCCTTTGATGCTGATCACAGTTGCTGATGCTGCCAAATTTTTCACGGAAATCGCCACAAAAGCATACAGCAGCTCTTTGAACAGTGGACGATCAGTGGACGCACAAAAGTATGCATCGTTTTGGTTCTCCTCGTTTACATGACAGTTGCTGCACTCATATTCAGTTGGTTCGACAGTTCATGGTCATTTCTCGATTCGTTCTACTTCTGTCTTATCACACTTGTTAGTTTTTTTATCATCCCTAACCTTTCAGCGAATACTTCATCTTCATCAATTCTTGTAACATTCATTTTTCTTTGTTCCATGCACACATCAGGTGTACGATGTATTATACTTATGGCAGTTCTTTCACTGATCCTTCATTCAATTAAGAACAAATAATCGACCACTTCCATTTGGCAACGACTCTAAAAAGTCGACTTTTCAAGTAACGTTAGGTGTTGAATGGCTGTTGGAAAAGCGTTGCTTTTGTAAGATACAAACAAACACATCATACAACACTGAAATGCTTTTTCACTTGCATCACTACCGAATAATACCTCCCATTTCCGATGCGCTAATCTAATCAGAAAACTGCGACATATCATTTCTTGAAATTAGCATTATTCGTAGCGATTTTGTGTCTGTGGATGGTATGCAAATAATGAAAATAAAAGTGCTCAATCGTTTCGCACCATTCAGCAAAAACTTAGCTGCTAACAACTCTTAGGATCATCAATATAAAACTGATGTTTTCATAAGAATACCACTGCAGTAATTTGCATTTAAGATCGCAAGTATTCATCAAAATAAACCAACCGGTAAATGCCATCGACAACAATGAATCGCATTATCGATGCTATTCGTAAATAAGTATGACAATCAATTTTTGATGAGCATTTCAGTCGCAGTTTCAAAAATGATTTTACTTACAACTGAACCATGTGAAGCAATTGAAATTTTTGCTTTTTGTTAAGCAATTGCCTTTGCCAGAAAACCTCACTCAGTTGTGAGTCGGAAACGACATTCTTAGTTCTCTTTGTTCATATGAAATAAATCTTGATATGCTCTTGTATTTTGCACTGTAACGCGTCAGTTAACCTTCTTTCATAACATTCAATGATTTTTCTTCACTCAGTTTTCAAATAGTATCTCAAAACTTGACATATTTTGACCCAACATAAACAGTCTCATTCAAGTTAAATTGAAGAAGTGAAACAGACTTGTTTTGTGGCCGTACTCCTAGTCTGATGTTTTGTGTGTCAGAAAACACTAAATTCATGTTATCTGCTCATTTATTAATGGTTTGCCTTCAAGTTTAGGCTTATATTCAGTTACAAATGAAGTGTTGCTTCATTTGATTTTCACATGAGCTTTCACTATTGATTCAGTTATGAAATTTTCGGACTGTCACCCACTCTTATTATAACTTTCAGCATTTCACAGGGGAGAGAGAGTAATGTGTTTTTGTCATGGAACGTTTCGATATTAATAAATTTACCGGTATGGAAAAAATACCGCAATAAGTCAGTATTAAAATAATTGTGCGAAGGGATGCAATAAAAGTAATATGTCATTTTTCCATTCGATGATATGAGCAGAATGACAATTTAAGAATTGTGAGAAGAACTTGAACTATGTAGACACTTATCAGTTGAGAGAGATTATGAAGGCCTTTCACATTCGTATTGTTATTATTTATTATTATTATTATTATTGTTATTATAATTATTTATTATTATTTGTTATTGTTATTATCACTATATTATTGTAATTATTTATTATTATAGTTACTATCATTTTATTATTATTGCTGTTATAATCATTATATTATTATTCGTATTATTTATTACTTGTTATTATTATAATTATAATTATAATTATAATTATAATTATTATTATTATTACTATTATTATTATCACTGTTATTATTATCATCATTATTATTATTATCATTATTATTGCTATTGATGTTGTTGTCATTGTTATTATGTTATTATTATTGTTATCATCAGTGTAATCTCACTTAGCGTTGATGAATACTATGAATTTATAATGCACTTTAAAGGTAATAAGCGTAAGAGATAATGCAAAAAGCATCAATAGTTTGAGTAATTTCACATCTGCTGAACATGATTCAACGGTCATTTTAATTTGTCAGCTTGAAAATGCTAATGATGTTTTAATTATCATATATTTAATCAACATTTATCATCGAAGACTTGTCACAGTTGCATCTGACAATAATTCTGCTATATGCCGCAAACATCGTGCTGCGTCCATTTGCAAAGTTGTTCGACTATTTATTCAGTGTGAATAGGTGAATTGAAAATATGAATAGCCAATAATGTATTTGGTCACAGAATATGAAATAGAGGAATGAGTAAATGATTAAATTGGTATAATTACATAAATAAACAATTTGCTATGAGGAAACTCATGACAGATAAGAGCTGAATGGTGTTAGCAACCATATGAGATGACGATGAAAGAGCGTTGTTGTAAATAAAAGAAGAAAGGTTCTTGTTTGCTTGCACACATCCGTTATCTTTTGCAGGTGACAGTCGGCTTCGGAGATTTGGTGCCTGTTGGTGGAGAGCAGTACGTGGCTTCATCAACAGACTTCATTTTTATCGGACTCGTCCTCACAGTGGACGTGATCGGGTCGTCATGCATCGAGAAGATCCATGCATGGGGACGTGGCCTCGACGCACTAAACCTACTCCGAAATCACAATCAGGAGCACTGTTGGTTCGCCTATATGCCCAAGGACGCTCATCTCATCCCTTTCATTGACTGTACAGACACTTCGAATAAAGACGAGATATTTCTCACTTGCTCTGCTGCTCTATGACTGACCCTGTCGTACGCGCTCTCACAACGCACCGTGTCGCACAAATAGCACTCGTTGTCACCCGGTTTGTCCGTGACACTTCTTTCCGCTTATTGTACACTGTTTGATGAGCGAGCATGCCTCGCTACCTCATTGCCCTCGTTCTTAGGACCTCTGGTCTCAACGGGCTTGACCAAGGTACCGACTGCTCACCTCTGCTTCATATCGCTTATACTTTAATTGATATTAAAAATTTGCACAAAGAAGAGCCCGTCGAGGAAATTGACGTCAAATCGCTTGGCCTTCAAGCTTCTTTGCAAAAGGTAACTAATTTACGAACGCACATGCTTCTTTGGGATACAGATTTTTGATCGACATATTATGTTAATTTCATTGTTATAAGAGAGCATTGAATGAATATTGTACTCGTTCATGTATGCACTCATTACATATTCGACAATCTGAAACTTATTCATCGCATTTATTTGTATAATTGAACGCATATTGTTTCGCTGTCAAAGTAAAACCAAATATTATATTGCTTCAAAGAGTGTCAAATGCAGTGCAAAGGTGTTGCTTTGTGAAGATGAATGACTTCTTTGTGTGTGCTGATTGGTAAATGGGTGAAGCTGGGCTTTTAGGTCGAGAACTCAGTGCCAGATGATTCGATTTTGGTGACAAACGGAATTAACGGCATTCGACAAGTGCTGCATCCACTTGCACTACGCTCCTCATTCAAACTCTCACCACTGTTTTGCTCCTTCATAAACGTTTCTCGTGGTGAACCGTTACGACCAAATTCTGTTCGTGATGGTGCTTGCTCATTGGACGATGAATTGGCAGCTATTTGTGAAAGGATACGAATTCTTATCGCCAGAGGTGATTTGTTGCACATTCAAATAATTTTTATCCTCAGCCATATCATCGCTTTCCATATGCTGCCACTCACGTTGCTCTGCACTTTTCTCACATGTTTTTTTTTTCTGGTAACTCAAACGAACATTCATCGTTGAATAGGACTGACTCAGTTGTGTTGACAAGTGAACTCTTTCACTTGGATACTGCCAACCTACAGCATCGTCTATACGTTTGGTTGTAAGAAGAGCTTACCGTTGACATTTCACTCTCTCTTTCATTCAATTACCTAATGATATGTTCGATTTCTACGCAACTTCCTTACTTTGTTGTCATTTGCTCTAACAATTGCAAGTCAGTCACCAAATGTNTGATTATTCGAGGACTGCATATCATTTAATGTTTCGAGCTAGAATGCGTTTCGGTTGTGTTTTGTAATAGTAGATCAAATAGTTCGTGTAAAACTCAAGTGAAAGTTGTACTGATTTGCAATATATGAATGGGTGAGCACTGGAAATGAACATTCGAAAGGTAAATTTTGTTTTTTGCCTGTGTTGAATTGAATTGTATAATGATGTTTCAACGAAATGAATAACAATTGAATATGAATTTTTTCACGAGAAAGCAGTAGTCGGGTATCGATAGCGATCGATATCGAGTAATGTAAAATTAATGAGTTAAGTGGTGCTGCTGTTATATGATAGGTTCAGAGATGTCACAATGTCTTCTTACAATCATTCATTTGCACATTCATTCGTTCAAACCAATTGACACGTACAGGATACATCGTTCTGTACAGCAATGTATTATTAATATTACATAGAACGTCATTATTTGCAGTAGGAAGGAGAGCAACCAACCGATTGACTAGCATTTACACTGCCTTTAAGAGATGAGATTGATCAAATGAGAGGGAATGATGGATCAATCAATGATACGCGCATGGATGGATGGGACGGGACCAATGCTAGTCATAATGATAGTGATAATGATAATGATGAAAACAATGATAATTCATTCATTTCGAATGAATCGACTACTCAAATGTACAAAAAGGCGTTTTATTCATAGCGACTGACTACTCAGAACTACAAATTTAAAGTGACATGTAAACTGATTTCGAGGGATTTCATTTTCATTCGATACTATGAACTGAAAATCAGCAAATTTATGATTATTTGTCGTAACGCGTGTTTTTTTTTTCGTTTGAATCGGAAGAGAATTGTTACGGTTTTTTTGAGACTCAGCATGTAATTCAGCATATGTATAGGCATGCTTATGATGCTGTTTTGTAAACGGAAGGATGCAGTGGAAGTTGTAGCGTTTAACAAGTCAAATTTATGCCTTTTCTGATTATGATGCTATTATCAGTGATATTTCCGATCAATTAGTAAGGATATTCCGTGAAGTCTGATCATCACGACAGCATCTGAAGTTCAATGAATTAATCTGGTCAAACTTTCTGGTCTCGCACATCTAATTGTCTATTTAGTTTTACGAAGTTTCCTATGAGTTCAAAGTGACTAATTTAAGAAATGAGAAAATTTGTGTGAGAAACTGGTAGAGCAAATAGGAGAGACGGCGCGGTTAGCACATTGAAACGAGCGCAATTCAGTAAATAGTTTATTACTTCGGAAGAGTTTCACGTGAACATATATATGTCTGCTTCAAGTATTGCATAGAATTAGTATCTGGCTATTAAATTCGTTACTCATTAAACACTGTGCATAATGTATTCGTGGCAAATTGAGGGTAAGCAAAGCTGTAAGATTCGGTATAGAGATCTGAAGTTACTAAGGTCTACTAGGAAGCGTTTGATTGTCAGATAGATTGTCAGGAGCGTTCAATCAAAAAAGTTCATAGTAATCGGATGGAATTGTTGAAAAAAATGAGGTGAGATCGTGTTGAAAAGCAGTTTTTAGTTTTTATGACTTATTAACCTGGACAAATGTAGCCTACTTATCGTATGGACAAATGTAGCCTAGTATGAATGAAGGTTGATTTAATTTATATGAATTCAGATGTGCTCAAATAATTACGTTCTCATTGCAAGTGCATGACATATTCGAACAATATTCAGAAAGTCATTACTGTAATACATTGGCAATCTTAATTTTGATCTATTCAAGTGATTGTGCTCACTGCCTTTAACTTCTTCTCCTACAGTGCGGTTGTTGCAATTGTTATTGCGTACAGGTCAGCGACCAGACGAGGATCCTGAGTGAAAGCATGAACGGAATATTCTCGCACAAGCTAACCAGAGTACTCTTGCGCATATTTTTGTCGATCCTTTTCAGACGCCTTCATTAATAAATTCAATTCTATGTGCGATCGGCTTGTCACGAATGAACCTTCAGAAAATATTGACTTGTCCAACAAAACCTAGCAATAAATGCATCGTATTTCATGGCATAAACTTTCCGAAATTTTGCTGTTTAAAATATAGCACACAATCGAAGTAACTGATTGCCTCGTTCTTTCAGAAGGAGATAATGTGTTCAAAAAAGTCGAAGAAGTCAGAACAGAACTCCGAAACGCAATATGGTTCGTTTTATAGTATGGATAGCAATGTCCTGAATTTTGATAGTTTCAATGTCATCCAGTTACAAATTTAGGATTTTCAGCATACTTCACATTTATTTTCATGATATCAATTTCATGGCATAAGTTTGAAGGGAATTTTCATGCTTTTGGTCAATAATCTATCAAGCGAGGAAGTTGATCAAATTCCGCCTACAATTATAGTCTCATAGCGTGATTTTTTTGACTCTCTTCGAACATCTGAAACATTTTTGAATGTCCAACATAAATTTCCATTCAGATTATTTTTCACTCGTTAGGTTTACCATACATTTTGTAAAGTTTCTTAGGACATTATTTGCTTATGATGTAACAGTTGTTGAGGTTGGAATTGACGCCAAAAGAGTGCTATTAATGATATTTGATCTATCTTCAGTTGGAAGGAATCTGAAGTCGATTCTGCTGTCGTCGTGCGTGCTCGAGGACTTCCTTGGCAGGCAACTGATCATGACATTGCGCAATTTTTCGTAGGACTCAATATTGCACCGTGCGTTTTCGCTTCTTTTTTGACTCATCATCGGTATTTTCGAAAATAATTTGATTTTTTTTTATCAGTTGAAGTTTCCTATTTCATTCAGTCGGGTTTTTCGTAACCAGATCATTCCGTTGCTTTAGAGTTGGAATGAGGATGAAGGTTCCATTTTAATCAGTTCATTGATTTCCCACTTTCTTAATTAGTAATTTCGTGTCTGCAATTAATATCTCCTGATGAAGGACAAACTGCGAAAACAGTCAGATTCAAACAAGAGATATTAAAACAAATCGAAAATGAAGAGACTTGGTTCATTGACCATGTGAGCAGCATTCATCGTCGTTCATGAATCAGTACCTGACCACTGAGATCATCTGAATATGTCAACGATGCAACTGTGATCATCCAATTGGCTAGGCAACAGTTGGGCTGATCGCATTCTCCAGTCATATTGACAGTGATGGGCACGCTATTGAAAAAAAGCAGCTCGGCTAATCGTTAATTCCACATAAGAATATTTTTGTTCCACTAAAAATGATCCGCTAGTAGCGCTTCTGATGAAAACGTCGCTCGCGCACATTTCTCGCCAAAAATGCCGCTATTCGGGAAAAATATTTTCGCCGTTATTCCCCGCTAAAACGATTCCCATCAAAAGCAGTCCACTAATCACCTCTTTCAAATCATCCCTCAAAATTTGCGGTTGTACCGCTCATTAATCCGGGAAATTACTGCATTACGCCATTAAACAATTGAAAATTTTTATTGAGTCATTACATAGCAAAAAATCTGCCCAACAATAAGTACCAGCCAGCAACGAAAGCAAAGTTCAAAAATAAGAAAATAATCCAATGATGGCAACAAAATTCAAAGATGAAAGCAATCAACTGGCGGTATTCCACACTGCATCTTTCCATTCCCTTCCAAGTATAGCAACACGCCGAGCATTTCATCCGAGAGTCTCGATCATTCGGCTCTTACTATATCCTTTCCTTGCGAGAATACAAATGAAGAAAACTTCATTGCACTGTCACGGAACTTATCTAACTTAGTGAGCTCAGAAGGAATGCTAATGGTGTAGTTATAGCAAACCTCAGAAGTAAGATTGAATAGTTAGCCTCGACCCGTTCAAGCATGTACGAACAATAATGTATTTTAAATATCGTGATGTTAAGAAAAATAAAGATTTTCTTGCCGACAAAAAATGGCGAGTGAGCGAAAGTCTGAAAAAGAGAATTCATTGTTGCCGAGATTTGCAAGGATTTGACTCTTCAGTGGTGGTGTTGCGCTTTGCCTTAGTGCAGAGGGTCGACGAAACGGTGAAGCGTTAGTGCGTTTTGAAGATAGCGAACAGCGTGAGTTGGCTCTGAAACGACATCGTCATTTCCTCCATAATCGTTACATCGAAGTGTATCGTGCTGCCGGTGACGAGTTTCTTCAGGTTGCTGCCGGTAATCATTTCTTGTTTTCGATACTCCACCAGCACGTTTTATATAATACCAAATAGAGCGCTCTTTTCGCAGAAATTATTGATGAATAGCCTGATGATTTCAATTATCATTTGTCAAACAAAAAGCAAGCGGAAAGTGATGCTCCCAGTGAAAGGGGAATGAATCAATGTGATGAGATGTTGCTTTGAAATGATGATGTTATGCCGAATTTTTCAATGATGGAAAATTAAAAAATAAGTGAATTGTAGTTGAATGATCGATGCACAGTTACATGGATGTAGTGCATATGAGGAGGTGGGTCGATTTGAAGTTACGTGTTTAGTGCTAATTCTGGATTAGGATTACAGAAATCTATTACAATAATGATTGAATAAATTTGTTTTGTTTGATAACGGTTTATGTAGCATGTGCATGTAGATTGCTCATCATATATACGATATATGCCGCATGCATAATAGTCATTTTAATGCTTTCTATCGAAAATTCGCTTCTCAAATAAAGCATCACTGCCATACCGAATGCACGCATATTAGCGAGAGGAATAGACGACAACGTGGAATAAAATACACATAGATGGGAATAGTCTAAATAGTAATGAATGCGAACGGTAGGGTTTCGAATGAAAATGTTGTTGAAGCGTTTTATGTAAACGACGTTATTGTTATGGGAGCTACAGGTGGGCAGTTGTATATGCCGCCACGTTTCAGTGGCTTTTTTTCAGGATCGAATTCGGAAGCAGTTCGATTCGTTAGTCGAGGCGGCGCAATGATTGTACGTATGCGAGGATTACCTTACGATTGTACCGAAACACAAATTGTAAGTTTGTTTTTGGATTAGACAATCAGTCGCATTTGTTTTGACGTGAATGTGCACAAGATTTGGTGTGAATTAACCGTTGCTTCTTTTTAAAATGTTCGCTCTGAAACGTTGCAATACTTCTGGTATAAGTGACTCACAAGTTAGCAGATTTATCGGGTTCCTGACTGAGAACTTAGAGCAGCACAGAAACATTGTTATTTTTCCATCTTGTAATTTTGATCGCCATCGATTAGTGAATATTGAAAAGGTTCACTTTCAATTTTTTCGTCTTTTATGGATCTCGAATAATTCGTATTAAGAATGCATATTTTATATGTGCTCAAGAAGTTCATTTGTTGTCACCGTAAGATCTATGATTTTTCTTAAGTGAGCAATATATTTGATGGTTATTGTCGTAAATGATCGATATAACAATTCAATGTGGTTTTACTGAATGCTTATGAAATTGAATGGTTATGCAAATTAGTGTAGTAACGTTGAAGCATTTACACTTGTATCAAATGCTTATATTGCTGCAAAATCGAGAATTTCACAGAAATTTTTTCAACGTATTTGAGAAACAATAAAAATATTTTCTGCATATCTGATTTTCATGACTGCTACTTCATAGTGACGTTCTTGGAATTGAATTCAGATCGAATTTCTCTTATTGACTGCAGTGTCTTCCATAGTAATCAACTATTGTGAAATCAAACAGGATGAGGCTTAGATTAAGCTATTATAGACATGATTATTAATCGATACGATGATCGGTAAATTAAATTTTAATTTGGACTGTGTAAATAAGGAATCTTCACAGGCTGTTTTCAGTTTATTAAATTGAAGCGTAGTCCATGAAAATAATCGACTGAACACTGCGAGTGTTTATCAGATTTTACACAGAATTTTCATATCATTCACACTGAATATCAACATCTGAAGAAAAAATAAAAATTGCATGATTTGAATGTCTGATATGGTGCTTACATGGCAGTGTTTTGAAGCTTCACTGTCTCGTTGAAAAAAAACCCTTCCTACAGTCTTCATTGTATGTATCAGCTCTTCTTCTTTTTCGTGATTTTCCTTTGCATATGAAATGACACAAGAAACAAAACATTCAGCGTGACTTCTTCGCTAGCGGTGAAAATGGCTGCAAGGTGATGGATGGTGGCGTGTTGTTTGTTAATAAAGGCGATGGACGACCTACCGGAGATGCCTTCGTTATGTTCGAAGATGAGGCTACTGGACAACGTGCCCTCATGAAGCATAAACATACTATTGGAAGTCGATACATTGAGCTGTTTAGGTATGTTCGAGAATGGATGTATTTTCTGTTGAAATCGATTCATCATGAAATGAAATTAAATCAACCTATCACTGCACTTCATCATTAATTTATTGTGTTTCTAAACGAGATTTATTCTGCTCCAGGTTATTTTTTAAATGTCTAAATTATGGCAGTCCAAACTAGGTTTTTTTCTAAGCATGGAACGTACGGAAGTGAGGTTGAAATTCCTCCCAAACGTTCACTGAAGTGAATTTCATCAGCTAGGCAACTACTATGACATCCATTAGGTAATTGAGTGACATTTGTTATGGACTCAGATACTATCTATCAGAAACTTCCTTATTCATCAGAATGCACAGAAGAGACTATTTTGATGGAGGCTTTTTTTCTTTTCTGGTCATTCATTTACTTGGAATTGTCAGCATAGCGTTAGTCATTATGCAGATTGTGTGCTTTTGAACAGAAAATTGCTACATATGTGAAAGTGAAATGATTCCATAGAACAGTGTCAAATAAATCGATTTGAGATATGAATAGAGCGCTGAATTTCTTAAATTTAATTTGCTCAAACGAATAATTTAAAAGCCATTTATAAAAGCGAGTAACAGCACTACAAACTTAGCAATATGTACAGCACGAGCGACTGATGTATCAGTAATATTGTTGAACGTGCAGTGCGAATAGTTGAAGCAGATTATTACTTTTAAAGATCAACACAAGCAGAAGTGCAGCAAGTGGTCAACAGGAATTTAGAGAATGTGCACGTGACAGTGCAAGGCAATCGTAAAGACTGCATTCGCCTTCGTGGACTTCCCTACGAGGCACACGTTGAAAATATTGTAGAATTTCTTGGCGATGCAGCTCGTCATATCGTTTTTCAGGTTATTTCTGCTCTCTTAATGTTTTCGCTTTTAGGTGATAAATTATTCCATTGAGTTGATTTTCTGCCCTTCTTTCAACCCACATCATTAATAATAATTCTAGCGACATAATAATAACAATAATAGTAATATTGATATTATCAATAGTAATAATAATAATAATAATAATAATAATAATAATAATAATAATAATAATAATAATAATAATAATAATAATAATGATAATAATAATAATAATAA